GGCTGCTGCGACGTGGTGCAGTTCCGGCCGATCCGCCTGCTGCAGTGGAACGGATAGCTTTTTTCTTTAGCACACAGAACTTGATCATAGCTGGGCAATAATTGGTCGATATATTTAAGTGTTTAGTTAATCGACACTCCATGAAAAGTGCTTAAACTTATTCAATTTTTATTTCGGAAATGGATTTATTTTCTTGGAAATCAGACATCCGCAAGGCCGCGTTTCATCCTATTTGCAACCTCAGAAACCTTCCTTATTGGGTTAAACAGTGCTTTATAATTTATTTGAGTTTTTTTAATTCACTGCATTGCACTGCAGTGCGGCCAAATTGCAAGTAAGCACGTCCTCGCTCTTTTCATTCCAGTGTTGAAAAGTCCGGTTAGAAATTTAAAAAAATCGATTGTGTCACAACAGTCAGCTGATCATAGAATCAGTTTTCGCTGGAAAGGCTGAGAATCAAATTTTTTAAATTTTGACCTATGGCAGCGATCACTGTGCATTGGGGAGGCGTTTCCAAGCGTTTGGGCAGTTATGCAGCAACCCGGACCTTTACTTTATGGGCCCTGTGCATCGTGTCGTTGTGCTGATACAACTTAAAAGTGTTGGCAATGACCATTTTCTAGGCAAACTGCTTCAAATTTTCTTTCAAAATTTTTAGGTACTGGTCCTGGTTCATCAATAAATACCAGATTTTCCACTCCTTTTGTGGAAATTCATCCCCAAGTCATCACACTTCCCCCGCAGTGTTTCGCTGTTGGTCTAAAAGTTTTTTCTTGAGCTCGGTATTTGGTTTCCAACAAACCATAGTCTTGCCGAAATGGTTAAATTTGCTTTCGTCCAAGAAAATAACATCGTCCCAACAGCTTTGGTAGTCTTGTACTCCCTTAATTTCCGGTTCGCTCAGCCAGCAAAGTCTTCTTTCTAGAGACTCTGCCGTACCACCCATGTTTTTTTATAGGACGACGAACGGTTTGCGCTGAAACGGTCTTCCCGTCGTCGGCAAAGATTTCGGCCTTCAATTCTAAAGCACGAAGTCGAGGATTTATCTTTTCTTTTCGGACTATTTCGGCTTCTTCGTGATCATTCTGTTTTTTTGGTTGTTCTTTTTGCTTGATTGACTCCACTCTTTTCTCCTTCTTAAATCTTTGGACAATGTCACTGACCGTATTAATACGGAAGCCAAATTTCGCATTATTTACATTATAAGTCTTGCCCTCTAAAGTAAAGACTTACTTTTATAATGTAAGTCCAAAATTAACTTCTAAACGATAGGCGATAGAGTTATCGCTCTTTCGCTTGTACGGCCAGCGAAAAATAAGGGGGAGAGCGAAAAAAGAAAACAATGCCTCATTTTAATCCTATGTTCCAAAACTAGGGAAACGATCGATTACGAACTTACCTTCGTCGATGCATTTAGTCTTCATTACCAAATTCGGCCGTAACCACATTGCGCCACTGGGAGGGAATATATTATCGCAAGTCTCAAGCTCAAAACAATGATAACGAGATTCAGCAGTAGTTGCTCTACGGGAATAAAAGAAGACTGGATGTAGCTTTCCATCACTTTGGCGTTGCACCAACACGGCTCCCAATCCATGATAACTTACGTCGGTATGCAGCTCTGCTTCGTTATGAGCGTTAAACAAGGAAAGAAGGGCTGGATACTACATTCAAGTTGGTTAAAGCATCTTTTCGAGTTTTCTCCTCCAATCCATCGACGATGTACTTGCCTCGTCTAAATGGCCTTGTTGGAAAATATTTCACTAAAATCATTTTGTTTTTTGTAAAAATTATCACTACGCAAAATTTCGGTTTTTATTTAAATGTAAAATGAGCAAGGAAAAATGCATATAAACTGTTGGGAAACCAGTACAATAATGAAAGCATCTAGACATGGCACCCCCAAGTTCAAATGAATGGAAAGTCATGGCACTCTACACTGAATATGTAAACTTTTTTGCACACTACATGTTTCTCCCGAATTACGCCCGAAGAGATTTCCGTGTCTTCCGCGTTCATGTCGAACTTTCAACTTACCATATCCTGACTGATTTTCCGAGCTTGAAAAAATGTTCACTAAAATCATTTTGGTTTTTGTAAAAATTATCACTGCGTAAATTTTCGGTTTTTATGTTGGAGTAAAACGACTAAAGAAAAATTGATATGAACTGCGGGAAACCAGTACAAAAATGAAACTTTTTAGATATGGTACCCCCAAGTTCGAATAAATGGAAAGTCATGGCACTCTACATTGAATTTCTTAACTTTTTGGATTTTGTTTTTCCCGAATACCGCCCGAAGAGATTTCCGTGGCACCCGTGTTCAATTCGAGATTCGACTTACCATAACCAGACTATTTTCGGAGCTTGAAAAAATGTTCACTAAAATCATTTTGGCTTTTGTAAAAACCATCACAGAAGACGCCCCCATATAATTTGGTTTATATGTATACAATCATTAAATCATCTAGCCACTCTGAATTTCAAATCATTTTTCGTCACATAAGTTGATATCAGAACTATAGTCACTTGTTGAACCCCGATAAGGGGTGATTTTGAATGATATATCAAAAGCTAAGGAATCTCAAGGACTATATGGTTCCAAATTCCGTTACTCGTCGAGTAAAGGGTATACTAGATTATTCGGAAAGTATGGTAGAAAGAAGCCTTTCCGACCTTATAAAGTATATATGCTCTTGATCAGGATCACTAGCCGAGTCGATATAGCCAAGTCCGACTGTCCGTATGAACGCTGAGATAACGGAAACTATAAAAGCAGCGCAAGTTTATTTCAGCAGGTTGCCATGCCAGCTCTAACGCCCACAAACGCCTACATTTATATACCCGTTACTCGTAGAGTAAAAGGGTATACTAGATTCGTCGGAAAGTATGTAACAGGCAGGAGGAAGCGTTTCCGACCCCATAAAGTATATATATTCTTGATCAGGATCACTAGCCGAGTCGATCTAGCCATGTCCGTCTGTCCGTCTGTCTGTCCGGATGAACGCTGAGATCTCGGAAACTATGGGAGCTAGGCTATTGAGATTTGGCGTGCAGATTCCTGAGCTTCTTACGCAGAGCAAGTTTGTTTCAGTACACAAACCGCCCAACACTGTGGCTCCTACAGTTTTGATGCTAGAATAAAAATTTTAACTGAAATGTAATGTTCTCATCAATACCTATCGATTGACCCAAAAAAAAGATTGCCCAGCCCACCCTAACGCCCATAAACCGCCCACAAACTTCAAAAAATCGTAAATATGAACGTGGATATCTCGGAAACTATCAAAGACAGAGAATAGGGATTTCAGATTTAGATTCCGTAGCCTTATACGCAGCGCAAGTTTGCTACCCGAATTTGCCACGCCCACTCTAACGCCCATAACGCTTAAATCTGTATACCGCCGGTAGGTGGCGCATTTTAATCTCGCTTTGCTACTTGCATATCTCTATTTAGCTGAGTAACGGGTATCTGATAGTCGAGGTACTCGACTATACCGTTCTTCCTTGTTTTTTTTTTAATTTTTGTAAAACTGAATGAATACACAAATACTTCGGTTTTGAATGACTTCTCTCTAACACGATTAAGCATTCGACAAAACAGTACAAATTTATTATATAAACATGATCATCTAATATGTACAACTGTTTAAAAACAGCTCTCAAATTGGACGGTACATAAATATGAAATATGAATAACATAATTGTCAGCGAATCTCATTCAGAAGTTGAACTTCAAAGTTTATTGAATCACACACGCATATTGCAACTTCAAGATGAGTATATCAACGATATCAATGTTGATCATCTGATTTTTTTCTGAAAATGGGGATTTGATGGTAGCACGAGTCGTGCTGAATATAAACAGACGATGATGGATAGCGACCTAACTGACAGCACTATGTTTTTTACATCATATATGCCCCTTAGACTGGAAGAATCCACGGCAATCATCTACCCGACATGGCAGACCAACCCGGTTCCCATTTTAAAAAGGAGACGACTCAGCTTTGCCCTGACGAAGAGGTGAACTTCGAAAACAAAATTGATCCGCTTAATTGTAGCATGGTTGCAATACGAAATCGAACAATTAAAATCGAATATTCTTTGCAACTTACCATGGCTGATGGTAATGTTTGTAATGCATTAAGTGATATAACATCCAAAAAATGCTATATATGCATATATAGCCTACAGAAATTAATTATCTAGAAATTTGTTTATAAAAAGAGGTTCTTGAGGACCGATTTGAGTTTGACTTTTCACCACTTCATGCGCGTACTCGATTTTTTAAGTGTTTTATTCACATATCGTACAGATTGGACGAGGAAAAATGGCAAATTCGATTACAAGAGGCTAAGGAAAAGATTTTATTAAGAAAAAAATGTATCAAATATGAGTTTAGGGCCAAAATGGGTCTAATAGGAAGTGGAACTTCAAATGGTGGCAACGTTGGCAGAAAGTTCTTCAATAATTCTTATATATCTGCCGACAATATGGGAATTGAGAAAGACTATATAATCAGAGACTCAACTTTGTTGCAAGCGTTATCTTCGGGCTACAGGATACATCCAGCAAAATTTGGTGGCTATGCTTGAGAAGTACCCCTGGTTTTATCTCCCCCATCGCACTATGTGAAATTTGACCCTTTCTCTGGCCAAAATTAATAACTCAAGAACGGAACAAGATATTTGGCTTCTGTTTCTTGCATCCGGTTAAGCTAGCTAATATATATTAGAAATAGAAAAATCGAGGGTGTGGCACCGCCCATTTTTTTTGGGAGTAATGTAAACTTCTCAACATTTAAAGAGTACTACTTCAACAAGTAACAAACTATTTAGCAACAGTAACATATTACTGTTTGTTTATTTATTAACAAATAATGGGCGTGGCTCGCCTTAAGAAGGTTTTAAGAAGGAAAGTAATATAAAGCGCATTCATCTTGCAGCCCTGTTATAAAGCACAGTTAGTAAATAAATAAATAGTAATACAAAATACATTTTTCTTACACACCTATTAGAAAAAATCCTGCTCTTCGTTTTCCAACTCAACGTTGTCTTGATGTTCTAAATCGAATACATTAAAGGGTCTTTCATCCTCGAGCGCCGTGTTGTCTTTTTGGATGAGCATTCTAATAGGTCCAAAACCTCTAATGGATGACTCATTCTTTTTTGTCGCTGAATTCGTCTATCCAAATTCACCGAAGAAATAATCGGATCAGAAGTATCTGTAGCTCGAATAACTGTTAAATACTCATATATCATATATCATCACAAATGGACTCAGTTTAGCTACAATTTTTTTTTAATTTTTACTGAAAGTGATTATTTTGCACTCAAAGTGAGAATGTTTGTTCATGCTGAATTTTTGAGTACAAACATTCTCAATATGAGTGCAAATTACATGAATATTTCTCTCTGTCCATCTTGAACCATTACCCATGTATTTGGAATTTGACGTCAACGCTGAAATTTCTTAATTTTTTAAAACTTTTCTGATGGAAATTGGCCCCTTAAAAATAAATCTTAAATGGAAATAGTTTTTGTTGTTCTTGGAATCTACTTTCCACTATATGCTTTAATTTGGGCTTAACGCGATTTTATAAAGATATTTTATTGGATTTGTTATATCAATAAAACTGTTTTTTGGTTTAATCAACTGCTCCTATCTGTTACCAAATAAATACTAAATAAAAATTAATTTAATTTATAATTTATTTTTACAGGCGGATTTTCATCAGAGAAATTGTGAACATTTTGGGAGTTTAACTTACGTCAAATTCCAAAGGCATGGACCATGGTTTAAGATGGGGACTATTTTTTAGCGATGCCATCATGTATTGAGAGTGTGTTTCAGCGAAAGTATTTAAGATATGTCCAATGGGCAATATAATTTGTCAGCAAACATCAGACTTTTGTATTCTAAGCGGAAACTGTAGGTGATGTAAAAAAAGTATGTATGGGACTTTTACTCAGTAGCACTTAAATATCTTGGAAAACTAGAAATGGTTCGTGGAAATTTCAATTCGAGGCTTAATTTTGTGGTCTGTGTAATTTCAACTTCAGAACGCTTTATTTGACTTTTATCTGTACAGGAGACATAGTATTTGGCACTCTGCTAAAATAAACTTACGCTGCGCAAGAAGCTTAAGAATATACATGCCAAAAGCCAACTTTCAAGCTTTTATAGTTTCAGATATTTCAGCGTTCATACGGACAGATATTAAATAAATAGAGACGTACACTGAAATATCCAGATATCGTTAATTCGGAAACTCAATGGTCGTTGACAAGTACAAGGTTTCTGAAGCTAGCACGAGATAGAGTAAAGGAAAATTACAGCCTCAAAGTGCTAAACGAATTGAAAAAGGATTTAATTGACGACGGTAAGTTTTCCTACTCTGTTAAGGTCTATCATATTTATAAGTGTTTGCTTGCAGATCTACTTAATATTGGAACTCGTACAATTTTACATGCCACCCTAAAAGCAAAAGCTCGTAAAGTGGTTACAAAGGCGAAAAATAAGAAACTAACAATTCAAGACGCCCGACAAAGCTTTTATTTTCACCTTGCATCATCCGCCGAGATGTAGACTAGAGCTGGGAAACTATAGATGGCACTATCCACGTATCGAATGTTTAACTTTCTCGGCCACCATCGATAGTTTATAGTCGCTATCGATGGTGCTGGGTAAGCAAAATGTAAAAAATTATATATTATGTATTTTCTAATTAAAACGCATTCTAGATTAGCGTTAATTGGACGTTGGTTATGGCTCTAAGCATTGATAAATATATAGTGAATTTGAAAAGAAAAGGCAAATATATTTCTTTTTTATAAACAATGTATATTTATTAAAATTTATTTATCTAATATAATAAATTATAAACTTATCGGTTTTTATTTAAAAATTTTAAATTTGGTTGCGCTTTTTGTTCTTCTTGATCGCCATCGCTTATTAGTAGTGCGCCCGTTCATTATTATTTACAATATCTCTTAAAACTAAATCGATTAATACTAGATTGCACTAAATATACTAAATAACATTATGCACTGGAATTACACAGCTTACATTCGGCCAATCCTGACTCTAGATCGACCTCGATCTTTACATATTTACTAACTACATAGTCAACTATAAGAATTAACGGTTTTCATACACGTTTGCACCCAAGGTTTAAGTCTGGCGGCTTCAAGAATGCCCTTGTAAGGAAGTTGGGTGACCTGGCACTCTTCTATGTCGGTGACTTCATATCTATCATTCGGGAATACACGGTTGATTTTATAAGGACCACGATATTTCGGCGAGAATTTCTTACAAGATCCTGGAGTAACATCAACATTTCGGATAGCTACAAAATCGTTAACCTTATAACGGGGGGTGCCTTATGTTTCAAAGCATATCGAAACTCATTTTGCTCTTGTGACCGTTTAATATTTTCACTAGCTTTTATCCTTTCGGATGTAACATCACGCGGGTTAGAAAGGCTAAACTTCTCCTCAAGATACTCGGATAATTCGTCTACAATAGGTCTCCGTTGGTTGCTACCAAAAAGCAAAATACTAGGAGTCTTTCCGGTACTCTTCTGAACGGAATTATTGATTGCAAATTCAACTCGGTTGACCAACTTGTACCAATCGGATTGATTCAACGGTTCAGATAATTTATGCAACATCGGGGTTAACACTCGGTTTATGCGTTCCACCTGACCATTCGCCTGGGGGGCAGCAGTAGCAACTTTAATGTGCTCTATATTTCGCTCACTTAGGAAACTAGAAAACTCAAATGATGTAAAACAAGTACCACGATCCGAAATAATTCGTCGTGGTCGGCTATAATACTCAAAATATTTCAAAAGACTGGAATTAACTTCTTTGGTACTGGTAGAATTAACCGGGTACAATTTCACGAACTTGGTAAAAGCATCGATAGCAACTAAAAGGTGTTTTCTTTTCGAATTGATGCACGGCAACGGACCCAAATGGTCAATGTGAACGGTATCAAACGGAATTGGGGCTTTCGGAATGCCACGCCCACTCTAACGCCCATAACGCTTAAATCTGTATACCGCCGGTAGGTGGCGCATTTTAATCTCGCTTTGCTACTTGCATATCTCTATTTAGCTGAGTAACGGGTATCTGATAGTCGAGGTACTCGACTATACCGTTCTTCCTTGTTTTTTTTTAATTTTTGTAAAACTGAATGAATACACAAATACTTCGGTTTTGAATGACTTCTCTCTAACACGATTAAGCATTCGACAAAACAGTACAAATTTATTATATAAACATGATCATCTAATATGTACAACTGTTTAAAAACAGCTCTCAAATTGGACGGTACATAAATATGAAATATGAATAACATAATTGTCAGCGAATCTCATTCAGAAGTTGAACTTCAAAGTTTATTGAATCACACACGCATATTGCAACTTCAAGATGAGTATATCAACGATATCAATGTTGATCATCTGATTTTTTTCTGAAAATGGGGATTTGATGGTAGCACGAGTCGTGCTGAATATAAACAGACGATGATGGATAGCGACCTAACTGACAGCACTATGTTTTTTACATCATATATGCCCCTTAGACTGGAAGAATCCACGGCAATCATCTACCCGACATGGCAGACCAACCCGGTTCCCATTTTAAAAAGGAGACGACTCAGCTTTGCCCTGACGAAGAGGTGAACTTCGAAAACAAAATTGATCCGCTTAATTGTAGCATGGTTGCAATACGAAATCGAACAATTAAAATCGAATATTCTTTGCAACTTACCATGGCTGATGGTAATGTTTGTAATGCATTAACATCCAAACAATGCTATATATGCATATATAGCCTACAGAAATTAATTATCTAGAAATTTGTTTATAAAAAGAGGTTCTTGAGGACCGATTTGAGTTTGACTTTTCACCACTTCATGCGCGTACTCGATTTTTTAAGTGTTTTATTCACATATCGTACAGATTGGACGAGGAAAAATGGCAAATTCGATTACAAGAGGCTAAGGAAAAGATTTTATTAAGAAAAAAATGTATCAAATATGAGTTTAGGGCCAAAATGGGTCTAATAGGAAGTGGAACTTCAAATGGTGGCAACACAGGCAGAAAGTTCTTCAATAATTCTTATATATCTGCCGACAATATGGGAATTGAGAAAGACTATATAATCAGAGACTCAACTTTGTTGCAAGCGTTATCTTCGGGCTACAGGATACATCCAGCAAAATTTGGTGGCTATGCTTGAGAAGTACCCCTGGTTTTATCTCCCCCATCGCACTATGTGAAATTTGACCCTTTCTCTGGCCAAAATTAATAACTCAAGAACGGAACAAGATATTTGGCTTCTGTTTCTTGCATCCGGTTAAGCTAGCTAATATATATTAGAAATAGAAAAATCGAGGGTGTGGCACCGCCCATTTTTTTTGGGAGTTATGTAAACTTCTCAACATTTAAAGAGTACTACTTCAACAAGTAACAAACTATTTAGCAACAGTAACATATTACTGTTTGTTTATTTATTAACAAATAATGGGCGTGGCTCACCTTAAGAAGGTTTTAAGAAGGAAAGTAATATAAAGCGCATTCATCTTGCAGCCCTGTAATAAAGCACAGTTAGTAAATAAATAAATAGTAATACAAAATACATTTTTCTTACACACCTATTAGGAAAAATCCTGCTCTTCGTTTTCCAACTCAACGTTGTCTTGATGTTCTAAATCGAATACATTAAAGGGTCTTTCATCCTCGAGCGCCGTGTTGTCTTTTTGGATGAGCATTCTAATAGGTCCAAAACCTCTAATGGATGACTCATTCATTTTTGTCGCTGAATTCGTCTATCCAAATTCACCGAAGAAATAATCGGTTCAGAAGTATCTGTAGCTCGAATAACTGTTAAATACTCATATATCATATATCATCACAAATGGACTCAGTTTGGCTACAATTTTTTTTTAATTTTTACTGAAAGTGATTATTTTGCACTCAAAGTGAGAATGTTTGTTCATGCTGAATTTTTGAGTACAAACATTCTCAATATGAGTGCAAATTACATGAATATTTCTCTCTGTCCATCTTGAACCATTACCCATGTATTTGGAATTTAACGTCAACGCTGAAATTTCTTAATTTTTTAAAACTTTTCTGATGGAAATTGGCCCCTTAAAAATAAATCTTAAATGGAAATAGTTTTTGTTGTTCTTGGAATCTACTTTCCACTATATGCTTTAATTTGGGCTTAACGCGATTTTATAAAGATATTTTATTGGATTTGTTATATCAATAAAACTGTTTTTTGGTTTAATCAACTGCTCCTATCTGTTACCAAATAAATACTAAATAAAAATTAATTTAATTTATAATTTATTTTTACAGGCGGATTTTCATCAGAGAAATTGTGAACATTTTGGGAGTTTAACTTACGTCAAATTCCAAAGGCATGGACCATGGTTTAAGATGGGGACTATTTTTTAGCGATGCCATCATGTATTGAGAGTGTGTTTCAGCGAAAGTATTTAAGATATGTCCAATGGGCAATATAATTTGTCAGCAAACATCAGACTTTTGTATTCTAAGCGGAAACTGTAGGTGATGTAAAAAAAGTATGTATGGGACTTTTACTCAGTAGCACTTAAATATCTTGGAAAACTAGAAATGGTTCGTGGAAATTTCAATTCGAGGCTTAATTTTGTGGTCTGTGTAATTTCAACTTCAGAACGCTTTATTTGACTTTTATCTGTACAGGAGACATAGTATTTGGCACTCTGCTAAAATAAACTTACGCTGCGCAAGAAGCTTAAGAATATACATGCCAAAAGCCAACTTTCAAGCTTTTATAGTTTCAGATATTTCAGCGTTCATACGGACAGATATTAAATAAATAGAGACGTACACTGAAATATCCAGATATCGTTAATTCGGAAACTCAATGGTCGTTGACAAGTACAAGGTTTCTGAAGCTAGCACGAGATAGAGTAAAGGAAAATTACAGCCTCAAAGTGCTAAACGAATTGAAAAAGGATTTAATTGACGACGGTAAGTTTTCCTACTCTGTTAAGGTCTATCATATTTATAAGTGTTTGCTTGCAGATCTACTTAATATTGGAACTCGTACAATTTTACATGCCACCCTAAAAGCAAAAGCTCGTAAAGTGGTTACAAAGGCGAAAAATAAGAAACTAACAATTCAAGACGCCCGACAAAGCTTTTATTTTCACCTTGCATCATCCGCCGAGATGTAGACTAGAGCTGGGAAACTATAGATGGCACTATCCACGTATCGAATGTTTAACTTTCTCGGCCACCATCGATAGTTTATAGTCGCTATCGATGGTGCTGGGTAAGCAAAATGTAAAAAATTATATATTATGTATTTTCTAATTAAAACGCATTCTAGATTAGCGTTAATTGGACGTTGGTTATGGCTCTAAGCATTGATAAATATATAGTGAATTTGAAAAGAAAAGGCAAATATATTTCTTTTTTATAAACAATGTATATTTATTAAAATTTATTTATCTAATATAATAAATTATAAACTTATCGGTTTTTATTTAAAAATTTTAAATTTGGTTGCGCTTTTTGTTCTTCTTGATCGCCATCGCTTATTAGTAGTGCGCCCGTTCATTATTATTTACAATATCTCTTAAAACTAAATCGATTAATACTAGATTGCACTAAATATACTAAATAACATTATGCACTGGAATTACACAGCTTACATTCGGCCAATCCTGACTCTAGATCGACCTCGATCTTTACATATTTACTAACTACATAGTCAACTATAAGAATTAACGGTTTTCATACACGTTTGCACCCAAGGTTTAAGTCTGGCGGCTTCAAGAATGCCCTTGTAAGGAAGTTGGGTGACCTGGCACTCTTCTATGTCGGTGACTTCATATCTATCATTCGGGAATACACGGTTGATTTTATAAGGACCACGATATTTCGGCGAGAATTTCTTACAAGATCCTGGAGTAACATCAACATTTCGGATAGCTACAAAATCGTTAACCTTATAACGGGGGGGTGCCTTATGTTTCAAAGCATATCGAAACTCATTTTGCTCTTGTGACCGTTTAATATTTTCACTAGCTTTTATCCTTTCGGATGTAACGTCACGCGGGTTAGAAAGGCTAAACTTCTCCTCAAGATACTCGGATAATTCGTCTACAATAGGTCTCCGTTGGTTGCTACCAAAAAGCAAAATACTAGGAGTCTTTCCGGTACTCTTCTGAACGGAATTATTGATTGCAAATTCAACTCGGTTGACCAACTTGTACCAATCGGATTGATTCAACGGTTCAGATAATTTATGTAACATCGGGGTTAACACTCGGTTTATGCGTTCCACCTGACCATTCGCCTGGGGGGCAGCAGTAGCAACTTTAATGTGCTCTATATTTCGCTCACTTAGGAAACTAGAAAACTCAAATGATGTAAAACAAGTACCACGATCCGAAATAATTCGTCGTGGTCGGCTATAATACTCAAAATATTTCAAAAGACTGGAATTAACTTCTTTGGTACTGGTAGAATTAACCGGGTACAATTTCACGAACTTGGTAAAAGCATCGATAGCAACTAAAAGGTGTTTTCTTTTCGAATTGATGCACGGCAACGGACCCAAATGGTCAATGTGAACGGTATCAAACGGAATTGGGGCTTTCGGAATGCTATGAAGGGTACGGTCATGGACACTTTTAGGTACTGAATGCAGGATACACGGCAAACAATTGCGGATAAAGGATTCAACTTTGCTTCTCAACAACGGAAACCAATACTTATCTTTCAGGTCATCAACACACTTATCAACACCAAGATGACCCAACTTTTCATGACATAATCTGATCAACTGTTCATGTATTTGAGTTGGAGCATACAAACATAACCTTCCGGCATCATTCTTTCTATAAATTATTCCATCAATAAGTTCAAAACAACCAACGGCTTCTCTTTCTAATTTATCATGGAGTTTGACAATTTCCGGATCCCTAATCTGCTCGGTCTGTAAGAGTAAATCTATATCCCCAGGGGTAGCTCCAACTACATTTACTACGGTATCCATATTTACATCGCACGGAAGAGACGGTTTATACGTGTTGGAATATGACATTACTTCATATCGATCAGAATATCGTATAAGTAAAAGTATTCTGCTCACTACTGGTAACACTAATATCGTTTTGGTTCCGATGAGCTGGTTCAGCTCTCACTTTTTCCGCATAATTTTGAAGTGACAAGACGTGATCCAAGGAACTTAAAATATATATCTAAAACTATACATAAAGTGTATTTAACTTGGTTCATGACAGTACCAATCTAGACTCCGAAGAGTAAAGACGTGCTATAGGCAAATCCACGCAAGTGTAATCTGCAACTATTACCTACCAATTTTGTCAAAACAAATAAGACCTCAAAGCAAACTCGCCAACTAAAGCAAAAACAATTACTGCATCTGAACAGTTACAAAAGTGCAAGTGCATCGGGCAGCAGCCCAACAACAACAACCATGACACGACCACCAGACATAAACCAAACCACACCGCGAGAAAAAGCACCTTTCCAAACACCCAAATTCATCGTCATTAAAAGAAAAGACAACATCGCATCCTTTGAAAAAGTTAGTCCATTCATTATCAAAAAAGTTATTGACTATACTTGCTGCGGGGAAGTAACGTCAGTTTCAAAAACCAAAGCAGGTACTCTTCTTGTCAAAACCAAAGACCTACTCCAAGCTCAATGGCTAATGAAACTCACCAAATTCCACGACTTTGAAGTTGAAGCATCTGAACACAAAACACTTAACTTTTCAAAAGGAGTCATCTATTCCAATGACCTCCGATACATAAACAATGAAGATATTCTCAATGAACTCAAGACGCAAAACGTCACTGAAGTAAATAAAATACTCAGAAAGAAAGACAACAATCTTGAAGAAACCGGACTCATCATTCTCACCTTCGCCACCACCACCTTACCCGAAACCATAAATATTGGATATGAACGTGTCAAAATTCGACCACACATTCCTCGACCTCTTAAATGCCGTAACTGCCAAAAATTTAATCACCCCACCAAAGCCTGCAATAACGAGAAAACTTGCTCAAACTGCTCTGAAGTTCACTCCCCCGACGACGAAGACTGCACCAAGCCTAAATTCTGCATCAACTGCAAACACCTCGACAACCCTCATCATAGCCCATTGGACAATAAGTGCCCAACATTTATTAAACAAAAAGAAATAATGGCTATAAAAACAATAGAAAATGTTGACTTTAAAAGCGCATCAAAAATATACATCCAACGTCACTTCCACAAGGCCACTCCTTACTCCCAAGTTGCAGCACAACCCCCATCAAATTCTATCGCCCCAGTTCTGGATAAATCGAATACTCGTGAGATCACGACATACGACGACATCATGGAACCTACCCCACAAACTCCAAGCGAGGACGACATCGAAATGGATACAACAGAATCTATCAGAACCAGTACAAACACTACAACCTCAGACCGCACTCTCAGAAGCTACAACAAAGAAAAAACCAACCCTCTGGCTATACCCCTAAAGGCTAAAAGCAAAGCAGACAAATCGAAAACAGTAAATACAAACCAACTAAAACACTCGAAGTAACCCAAACAACACTGCCAAGGAACTTTATTAATTAATCACTCAAATTAGTACTAAGTAATACACCTTCTCTTTACATTTAATGCTTAAAATCATTCAATGGAACATCCATGGATATAGAAATAACTACATTGAACTCCAAACCCTGATCAAGACCTTTAACCCCTAATTCTTGCCCTACAAGAAACACACATAACACACTTTAACTCTCTACCCATTCCCATTAACTACACACTCTACCAACAATGCTGCACCAACTCTTACGGGGGCGCAGCTCTACTGATACATAACTCAATATCTCAAAGACAAATCTCAATCACCCAAGACTTCGAAGCAACTGGAGTCTCAATAGATACAAAACTTAAACTAAACATAATATCAGTCTACATTTCACCAACTAAGTCCTTTAACAGAAGTAACCTAGAAAACGTCCTCTGCTTCGACAACACACCCACTTTAGTCCTCGGAGACTTTAATAGTTGGCCCCTACTGGGGCTCTCCTAGCCCTAATACCAGAGGCAATATTATTGCCAAATTCCTAGACCGTTCAGATTACATTTTATTAAACGACAAAAGCCCCACCCACTTCTCCACTCACAACTCTTTCACACATATAGACTTATCCTTTTCTTCATCCACTATAGCCCCAGAATTTCTCTGGGAAACAATAGACGACCTCTACGGAAGTGATCACCTCCCTATCTTAATCTCAATGAACCTTAATGCCTCCCCCTCATCCTACACCTCCAAGCCCTCCTTTAACTTAAAGAAAGCAAACTGGGAAGCATACAAAAAATCTTTTCGTATCAATTCTACTGACAAGCCACCGAGCGAAAATGTCAATAAAGAAGCAGCTTTGTTAAGAAAAATTATTATCCACAGCGCGCACCAATCAATCCCCCAGAACTCTACTTTTCAATTCCCTAGAACAGTTCCGTGGTGGAATCAAAACTTATCAGTTTTGAAGAATGCCAAATCGTCTAAATGGTCAATACTAAAACGTAACATTACTACGTATAATATAATAGAATACAAAAGAGCCAACGCTAAACTAAAGAAAGCCATTAGAGAAGCCAAACGAATCTCTATTTTTAATTTCACATCCGATATTAGTCCCTTCTCATCTCCAGCAAGAACATGGTCCAACATCAGACGCCTTTGCGGCCTTTACCCCACAAAGCACATACACTGCATTAACGACCCTTCTTTCCCCACCCCCAGAACATCCCAAAGTGAAATCGCTAACTCTTTTGGACTTGCCTGGTCCAAAGAAGCCGACGACGGTAACTTTTCTCCAACTTTTCGCACTAATAAATTCCTCTTAAACCACACATTAGACTACCAACCCTCCAAAACTGCACTAGAAATAGAAAAGGACATTTCGTTCATTGAATTTAGCAGCGCACTCAACTCCTTGAAAGGCAAAACTCCAGGCTTAGATCGAATCTCATACATTATGATCAACAACTCCCCCATATCATTCAAACACAGAGTCCTTAACCATTTCGCAACATGAGGGGCACAAAAGTTTCTGGCCGAAATCTTGCCCCGGTGGTCTCCATGAGTATCTGGCGGTCATAGCCAAAGCGGCGACATTCAAAAAGGACATGCTGAGCGTCCTCGACAATGCCGCTGCCGCATTCTGGGCAACCGTCCTCCGTGTCGTGCCCGAAGCGCTTAAGGAAGCTTCGGAAGCAGCCGTGTCCACTCAGCGCCTGCGTGAGGTAAAAATCCACCTGGCCGTCCTTCCTACTTAGCCATGGCTCTATGCTGGGGATGAGCTGGTGCGTCCAGCGACCCTTGCTGGAGGTGTCCCAGGCTGCCTGCCA